ACACACACACACACACAAGTTAAGTGCTCACAAAGCGATTTAAAGTACTTATCAGTAAACATTCTATGTTAATAGACATTAGGAATAAGGAATCTTCTGTTTACAATGATCCATGCAAAAATATTCCTAAACTTCTTACAAAATAAATGTGGAAAAAGAAAATGAAGAGTACTCACTATAAAAAATAAGATTACCAAAGGCTCAGTGGTCAGGTATTCCACCTACCAGCCAGGCTGACCGCTAACAGTGACCTCCACCAGAGTGCCAGAGCCCTGACCTAGCTGCCTGAGAAGCAGCACAGAATCCTCTCTCAATCAAAGTCCACAGCATTCCAAACAAGGATGGGGTGGGAAAAGAATGAACTTCCATCTCTGCCTGACAGACCCCTGAAAAAGAACAAGTCTTCATACCTCCACCCTTCTGACCCTCACTGAAAACAGACATGCACTCCTATTGATGGAAGTTGGGCATGGGGGGGGGGGAGAGTCCTCATGATTTCTTATGTACAATATTCAGATTTTAAACTAAAAATCTTCCCATAATAGATCCTGGCAGGCAAATCATTCCACTGCTACCAGGCCCTTTCTGCCATCCACACTCACTTGGTGCTGAGTGCCTTTAGCTCAAAGAAGAGATGAGATGGCAGAAGAGGCTCACAGACCACGGACACCAACCCTATAAATCTCCTCCGGCTGGTCACAATCAGGTGGACTACTCCAAGACAAGCTACATGATTCTACATTATCAGACATACCCACAGCCTTGCCTCTCTACAAGAAACATGAGGAATTTTAAATAAAGTTTTGTTCCCTTTAAATCATTCTTAAATATACAACTTTCTCTATAACATACAGCTGAAGTCTTTGCCATTCCTTGGGAGCAGGGTGTGGGGACCAATGCCTGTAAGTTTTCAACTGACTTCAAACATTTCTGGGGAAGGGGGCGACTGGAATGATTTTCTAAGCTAAATAAACCAGAAGGCAATACCTCATCCAAGTGTTTCACATATCTTCCATCCTAGGAAGACAATTTAGTTCTACTCAGGACTTTTTCAATAAAGATATACAAAAAATCTTCCTTCTCTGTAAGAGAACAGACAGTGTAATGGAAATTTAGATGGCAAGGAAAATTGTTTTGCTGATATGTAGAAAACCCCTTTGCCCCTAACTATACTGACCACACAACTCTAATCTTCCATGATGGTCTTTAAGCATGTCCCCTTTCCCTGGACCCTGCCAAGCCTACACAGAAAGAAAGGGATGCCCACTAATTGGCTGATCCCAAATCACAGTGGCCCACCCACTCTCTCCCCATCCCTGCAGCTCCCTCCCATGCAGTCAGTGCCAAAGAAACAGATCGCTGAAAACTAAAGTCCAGATCCAGAAGTGGCAACCTACATCAACCCCAAAAGGTTGAAGAATCATCTAAGGTATTTCAGGTATGCTCTATGAACATATTCACTTTAACACTTATAACTTTAAGACTTTGTATACAACAGTGCATTAGTGAAACAGTTGTAAAATATGTTTCCATTCCTTTGGGTTTTGCATAAGATGGTTTTGCATCAGTCACTGCAGGTAGATTGAGCAAGCTTTGTTTTTGTGTTTGTTTTTTTAAACATGCATTCAACTAGATATGATTCAGAATAGATTAATACTCCCTTTTTATCATTACAGTTAGCTAAAAAATTGCCAGGCAAGTCCACAAAACAGGATTTGCTTTAAGACCAACCCACGGAGTTAGCTGGAGACTAACGGCACTGGGACCTGCTGGGCCGGGACAGTCGTATTTAGCTAAGTGTGAGAGCATTAAGAAGAAAGTCCTGGTTGGAGGCACAAGGCCTGCAGCACCAGCTGTGGAACCTCAATGATGTGACTGCACAGCTCCATCCGCAAACCTAGAAAGAATGAAAGGTACACAGTCATACAGAGCTCTTCTGCCATCACTGTTCCAAAAACTCCAAAAGGACAAGATCCAATAGGGTCAAAAAGGGCAGCAGGGCACAAAGGTGCTGGACCTGATTCCCACCCACCTCACAAAGACCCCCCTAGTTACAACCAGAACTCTATCTCCTACAACAGGCAGGAGGGAGATGCAAGCATATTCCAGGTAAGAATAGAGATGCAGTGGAAATAGTAACCACTCAAATGATTTCCTTCTCTTTATGGAGTTCCAGGAAGATCAAAAACATAATGGGGTTGTGGCTCAGTGTAGAGCGCTTGCCTAGTATGTAAGAAGCACTGGGTTTGATCTTCAGCACCATATAAAACATGAAATAAAAGTATTGTGTCCATCTGCAACTTTAAAAAAAAACAAAACAAAAAAAAAACCCACTACAATTGCTCTTAGATCAAAGGTCAGGTGCATTTTTTCCTTAGTGCTTAAAACATGAGGTAGGTTTGTCATCCTCCACAGAGAAATGCACTATTGCCAGGACCCAGTGAGCCTTCACTGATCACTTACATTTATTTGCAGGGTGATCACCACTGAGGGGGCACATAGCTGTAGGTGGGTGTTCCTGGAGCCCGATACGTGGGCACAGTGACTGGGTGAGGGGCAACAGGAGTTGGGGAATGGGCAGTCAGAAGGGTACCTGAAAAAAAGATCAGCACATCACACAAAAAGCAGGTCTACATGCTATACACCAACTCCAGTGTGACTCCACACTGTCACTAACATGTAGGCCTTTGTGAAGAGAAAGGCACCTTGGAAAAGGGCACAGTCCTGAGACTCAGAATAAGGTCAGAAAGCTAATCAGATCACCCCCAAAAGAGCTGAAAGATATTTGATAATGTGTCTGTAAAAGGGCTTGTGCCACCAACTGTGGTGGTGCATACTTGTAATCCCTGCTACTTAGGAGGCTAATTCAAGGAGGATCACAAGTTCAAGACCAGAATGGGCAACTTGGTGAGACCCCGTCTCAAAATTAAATTAAAAGGGCTGGAGATATAGCTCGGTGTTAAGAGTGCTTCAGTACTGCCAAAAAAAAAAAAATTTAAAGAATATATAAAAAGGCTTCGGGTCTATCTTTACAGAACATTCAGAAAACTTTTCGTGGTTCAGAAGAACCCCCACCCATTTTTTCGGTTCTACAGATTGAACCCAGGAGTGCTTTACCACAAAGATACATCCAGTTTTGTTTTTGTGGCGCTGGGGATTGAACCCAGGGCCATGTGCATGAAAGGCAAGCACGCTACTAACTGAGCTATATCTACAACCCACATCCAGTTCTTTTGATATTTTGAGACAGGGCCTCGCAAAGTTGTGATCCTCCTGTTTCAGCCTCCCAAGTCACTGAGAACAGGTGTGTACACTGCCCCAGGCTTTTACAAACATTTTAAATAGTATTATCAGACTTAAACAGAAAATTCTTATACAACACAGGTGAACCTTAATGAAGAACATTATGCTACGTGACAACAGGACAAATATTGTAGATGGTCCCACTTCAATGAGAGTATTTAAGAGTTATCAAACTCAGAGACAAAACAAAATGGTAATTAACAGAGCTAGAGAGCAGGTGTATAGCAGTTTAATGGAGTACAGGTATTTAACACATACAGGATATTCAGATTTGCAAGACGAATACCAATGTGAATAGACTTAACAATATATAAAATTATGGAAAAATTATTAAAAGGGTGAAAAAAAAAAGAGAAATGTGAAGTGGGATTTCCAAACTACATGAGCTTCTGAGTACATTAAGAAAATGTATTTTTCCTATAACTACAAAAAAATTCAGGGACTACCTGAATTCTTTTGCGGTCAACTCTCCTCAAACCTAATGCCATTATTCCCTGTTGCCTGTGCTCACCCTGCCCACCATGGCCTCCAGGACACAGCTTCTGTCTATGTCACAGTCTTCTCTGCTTTGACAGAAAAGTACAGGAAAGCCAAATAAAATAGACATTAAGGTCAGAAATACACAGTATCCCAAAAAGCCTTCTCTTTGGTAGAATTTCCTTATACTGAAGTTGGAAGGTAGGGAAGTGACATTCCAATCATGGGCCATCAACCCTTAAAGACCAGCAGGTAACTTAATCCCTAAATAGCAAATCAAGCCCCAGGGCTTCCATGGATCCACAGAGACATGCCTACTCTAGCCTAGTGGTCTCTTCTGCCCTTGGTTTGTTCTACTGACTTAGAAGAGGACTGGGGAAGTAAAGCAGATAAGCCGAAAGATCTGTGCAAGTAGCTGTTACTTCTATTAACACCAGACCAGCATTCCTAGATACACTGAAATCTTGCCCATTAACTTAACTTGACCTATGAAGCCAGATCATACTAAAGGAAAATATGAAGAGGGCCAGCCCACAAAGTGTTCCTCCTCAAGTTTTATATGCTCACACTGGTAGAGGGAGTAGTGTCTGGTCACTCACTCCTCATCCCTACTGCCAAATGGACTATCCAGCTCACCAACAAAATGACTTAGTCAAATTCAGAAAGTGCTGTTCAGTTATGCTCCACAAGGGAAGCCAGTTGGTTCATCAACTCTTACACCCCACACTCCAGTATCCTCTCAACTGAAAGAAGGGGAAGGAAAGGAAAGGAGTTAAAGTCAAAGGTAACTGTCACTTCTTCAAAGAATCACATGTACTTCAAACAAACTACAGCCATGAAAAACTAGAACCAAGAGTCAGAGTATTCATAAGCTTTCCCACACCTTACCCCAGCCTTATGGCACCATAGCATACACACTAGGAATAAGGACTCACCTGCTGACATGGCCATCGTGGTCCCAGCAACCATGCCCATGGTGACCCCATTGCCTCTAGGAGGAGGGATGGGAGCAGGGTACACTGTTGCCGGCATGCCATTGGGCTGCACCACCGTGGTGTGATGGATGACGTGAGGAGGTGCTGCATACAGTGGCTGTGTATAGTACGTGCCTTGCTGTGGGGATAAGGAAGACAACTGCCACAAGGTCCCACAATTTTGGGACCTAATGGAACCAATCCTTCCCACCATGCAGGGCATGTCCAAGCATACCTGTGCGTAAGGGCTCTGCTGGGGATAGGCACTTCGCACGGGGTACACGGCAGTCTGGTAGGGGTTGGGGGAAGAAGAGTATGGCGGCACGGCCCCGCTGGTGGGGGAACAGGACACTTTGTAAGGTGTGCCAGGAGTGTAACCTGTAACAAAAAAGCCCATGCCTGAGTTCATGTGGGACCATGCCAGGCATGGGGGAAGGACATGTGTAGGGTGGAGGCAGGTGTCATCTTAACCACGAACAGTGTAACACAGTCAAGATTCAACAGTCCCCTCTCTCCTCTACTGACACCAAGCTCCATTTTTTGGCTTTGTGTGCAACTGAAGTGGGGGGGGGGTTGCTGAAGAGGAGAAAGTTCTATGGAGCATATGCTCACATAAGAACAGGAAATTAAATACTGTCCTGACCTACCAGAATATAAATTGGTACAGCCTTCCTGGCCACTCAATTTGGCATTTAAAGTACATATGTATTTTAATCCCACAATTAGCTGTATAAATCTACCATAAAGAAATAAGCACATATAACAAAGACATAACTTAGAAAGCACACTAATCTCTGGTATTAGAGCAAAAACAAAAGGAGAAACTTATCAAACATCAGGGATTGGCTTAGCACCCTACAGTAGAAAAACTTTTGGATCAAAGGAACAGATTGAACACACACACTTACTTGTTCCCACCCAAAATGACATGAAAATGATTATAAAACAGATTAAGGAATAAAAAGACAGACCAAAAAATGAAAGTAAAGGCTGGGCGTGGTGGCACACGCCTGTAATCCCAGCAGCTTGGGAGGCTGAGGCAGGAGGATCACGAGTTCAAAGCCTGCCTCAGCAAAAGCAAGGCAATAAGCAACTCAGTGAGACCTTGTCTATAAATAAAATACGAAAAAGGGTTGGGGACATGGCTCACTGATCTGCCTGAGTTCAATCCCAGGTACCACCACCACCCCCGCCCACTAAAAAAAAAAGAATGGAAGTGAAGAAAGCTTTTAAATCTAAAAAGCTACACTCCATAAGTATTGAGAATAGTCTGATCATAGGACACCAACTTGTTTCCAGAAGCTGGTGAAGGCCTCTAATAGGGAAGAAGGGCTGTGAATCTACTGAGTGACCATTAGGTGTCTGGCTCCCCTCCTGATCCTCTACCCCAACAGATTTGCTCTCAGGTCTGACAGAGAGGGCCTCTGGCTTACTATGCTCACGGCAGCTCTATTCAACTGCCAGGAAGCTATAAATAGCCCACATGTCCACCAGCATACAGACAAACTGGTACATCTATACATCAAGACACTGCTCAGCAACCAAAAGGAACAAACTACTGATAACAGACAACATAGATGAGTCTCAATATCACTATATTATGCAAAAGAAGCCAAAATAAGAATACATGTTATATGCATCTGATAGTAAGCACCAAGAAAGAGCAATCAAAATTCACAATGATAGAAAATCCACCAGTTGTGGCCAGGGGCAGAGGGCACATGTACCTTTCAGAACCATGTAGTCACCCAACTATGGTGGTGATGTAAAACCCTGTACAACTATCCAAACACACCAAGGTACACAGTAGAAAGGACAACTTCCAGTACAGGTAAACACTACCTCTGCAGAAGCTATTTCTAACATGTCCCTAATGACATTCACATTCCCATCAGTGTAATGTGAGGCAGGGAGCAATCACACTGTCACAAAGTATAAAATCTCAAACCACAAACACACTTACCACAGCACCCAGCAACTCCACCTCCAGATATTTCCCCTAGAAAATGAAAACACAGGTCCACAATGGGACTTGTAAAACACGTTCACCAATCTAATTCCTAAAATGGAAAATAATCCAAATGCTGATTCATCAATAGGGAAAAATATACACTGTGATACATCCATTAAACACTACTTAGCAATCAAAGATGAATTTCAAGCCATGTCAAGCTTTCCAAAAAAGCCAGACCTCAAAAAGAACACCAGAAATTATTCCACTTATATATCAAACACTAAGTAAATCCAACTATTTGACAAATCAAAAAAGAGGAAAAGGTGAAGAAAACCTGGGATGATAAAAGGATTGTGTATATTGTTTGGGCAGTAGTTCCACAAGAATGTGCAACTCAAAATTCACGTACTGCACACTTAGTATGTAGGTTTTTTGTGCATAATCTAGTTAAAATTTTTTCATTTTAATTATACTACTGATTGTATTTAGTAATGTAACACATTTTGTTTTTAATTTTAAAGAGAAATAATGAAAAAGGAAATTCAGTTTTTTGGGGTTTTTTTTGTTTTTTTTTTAATATTTATTTTTTAATTCTCGGCGGACACAACATCTTTGTTGGTATGTGGTGCTGAGGACCGAACCCGAGTCGCACGCTCTCGCTACCGCTTGAGCCACATCCCCAGCCCCCGGAAATTCAGTTTTAAATGGCCTTTTTAACCACAAGAAATTCTGCTTCCCTCCATGGGGCCAGGTAAGTCCTAGTCAACTGTGGCTGTAGCCACATGACAATAGTATCCTCATCAGAATCTCCATGTATGTGCCCAGGCTCTTCATGACTGTAATGTCAGGTTTTCTCATGCACTCCCCAGGGCGTGTTCACACTGCTATCCCTTCAGTGCACCCAATAGCTGGCCCAGAGATGAGTTGTACTCCAACAAGATCCATCTGCATCCAGATTCTTAATCTCTTCATCCAAACCAGGTGATTCCCAACCTCAGCTAGTCTATCTGGAGAGAAAAGATCCTCCCAGATCTCCCTAATTATTTTTGAAGTTCATTAATTGCTATGTTAACTAAGTATAAACAGTACCAAAATTTGAATATATCAACTTTTAAACTTGGTTAAAAACCAAATACACAAATTTTCCTCCAGAATTTAGAAAAGCAAGTCCAACTATAAGAGCACTTAAAGAGTTTCTGCTATAATTTAGAATTTCAATATCCCCAAAAGGCTTGGTCCCGTTTGGTGCTACTGGAAGATACTGGAAAAACTGGGCCTTTGGCCGGAAGTGTCCAGGTCACTGGGGACAAGCCCTCCTTCCCCACAGAGATTTTAGAATCCTGTCCCTCTCCCCCTCCTCCATCTCTTTTGCTTCCCAACTGGGAGAATTCTGCCCATCTGGTTCTGCAATAATGTGCTGTTTCACCTCAAAACCCGAGTAATGGAGCTAATCCTTCACAGACTAAGATCTTTAAAATTGTAAACAAGTGGGGTGCAGTGGTGCACATTGGCAATCCCAAAGACTGAGGAGGCTGTGGCAGGAGGATCACAAGTTCGAGGCTGGCCTCAGCAACTTAGAAAGGCCCTAAGCAACATAACAAGACCTTGTCTCAAAATAAAAAATAAAAAGAATTGGGGGTGTACCTTAGTGGTTAACCTCAGTGGTTACCATCCCTGGGTTCAATTCCTGGCACACACACAAAAACAAAAACAAAAACAACACAAACAAACAAACAAAAAATACCACACAAAACAAAAACCACCAAAAACAAAAATGAAACCCCTATAAACCAAGCTAAGCCAGGTGTGGTGTCAAACACCTGTAATCCCAGCGACCTGGGAGGCACAGCAGGAGGATTTCAAGTTCAAAGCCAGCCTTGGCAACTTAGAAGAACCTGTCTAAATAAATAAGGGTCAGAGATGTAATTCAGTGATAGAACACCGTTGGGTTCAAAAAACATGAGTCTTTTCTCTTAGAAAGCTAACTATCAGGCATTTACAGTTATTGAAAACTGACAAAAACAGTCCTTTTTCTAACTGCTCATCCTAAGAAGAAAAAAAAGTGATAGCATCACAGGTCTATGCATGTTAAAACTCATCAAAACTTTAAATATGTGCACTTTATTGAATGCCAAATATACTGCCAGACAACATTTTGATTATAAAGAAAAAAAGCAGTATGGAAGCTATCAAGTCCCAGCTACTCAAAGACACTCCCAGGAGGTGGCCCAGGACAGCTTTATGAAATTCCTCACAAGAGACTGGCTTGATGGGCTGGGGTTGAGCTCAGTGGTAGAACGCTCATCTAGCACGTGCAAGGCCCTGGATTCGATACTCAGCACCACATAAAAATAAGTAAATAAAATAAAGGCATTGTGTCCAACTACACCTAAAAAATAAATATAAAAAAAAAAAGAGAGAAAGAGACTGGTTTGCTCAGAGGAGGAAACAAGGAACAGCACAATGTGGGAACACCTGTGACTAGACATGACCATGGGAGCATTACACAAGCTATATGTCAACACCGAGCCAGAACCTGTCACCAGAAAAGATCCAGCCCTCTCTACAAGGAGGAAAGCCATTAAAAAACAAAAAGACCACCAACACAGATTTATGCAGTCTTGGCAGGCAAGAAGAAGGCAGCTCAGGGTGGAGGGCAGGGCTGTCTCCAAAGAAAGAAATAATAGGGCTGGGCAAGATGGCATACACCTATAATCCCAGCTGTTCAGAAGGCTAAGGCAGTAGGAGCACAAGTTTGAGGCCAGCCTCAGCAGTGTAGGAAGGCCCTAAGCAACTTAGGGAGATCCTGTCTCAAAATAAAAAATAAAAAGGGCTGGGGACAAAGCTCAGTCAGTGGTAGAGTACTTGCCTAGCATGTGTGAGGCTTTGAGTTGAATCCTAAGTATCACAAGAGAGAGAGAAAGAGAGGGGTGGGGAGAAAGAAAAGGGGAAAACCAGATCTGGGATAGGGAGGCAGGGAAAGAGAGAGTCTCATCCTATATATCCTCCTCTTCCCCAAATCACTCCTTCTTACTTATTTCTCAGGACCACAATCACACTACAGCAGGAAAAACTCAATGCTGGTTAACTCATAGGTGAACAACACTAATATGACTCCTACATAGCTTAAATCCAGTTTCTCCCCTATTGTTTCCATGACCTCCATCAATAGTCCTCCTAGGAATCACCAAACTCATAGCTGACCAAAATGTTAACCATTTCTTTAAAAAGTATCACAATCAAAGTATTCATAGAATTATACTTTGTGTGTCACAATTTCATATCAAATGCTAGACTTTTAAGTCTGGGAATCACATTCTTAATTTCTAGCACTACCTGATTTTCAAACGAATATGGCCCCCTTTCATCTTGGTGCAATTTTTTAAAATTCATGACACAGATGGGGCAACTGGAAATATGAACACTGATTGGGATTTTGAGTATTAAAGAATTATTTTTTGGATGTAAATATGATATATATTATAGTTATATATTTTGTCTTTTAAAGATAATATTAAAAAACATGAGTAGAAGGGGAAAAAAAACTTGAACAGGATGTCTGAAAATTACTTCAAAATAATAAAAGGGAGAGCCTGGTGCAGTGGTGCATGCCTGTAATCCCAGAGACTAAGGAGGCTAAGGCAGAAGGATCTCAAGTTCAAAGCCACCCTCAGCAACTTAGCAATACCCTAACCAACCTATCAAGACCATTTCTCAAAATTAAAAATAAAAAGGGCCAGGAATGTGGCTCAGTGGATTCAACCCCTAGTACCAAAATAAAATAATAATAATAATAATAAATGGGAATGTGGTTAGCATATAGATGAAAAACATGAGCCCTGAGCTGGTAACTGCTAAAAAGTCAAGTGACAGGTAAGTAGAGATTATACTCTTAAAACTTGTGTATATATTTAAAATTGTTCCTAATAAAGCCTCTTTATTATAAAGTGTATTTGTTTTAGAGTTTAGACATACTGTTATGAATTAAGAGACAAAAGACATACATTAAACCTTAAATTCAACTTGTGTTAAGTAGATCTTATTTCCAATTATTTTTTTAAAATCTGACATAAGTGGACAAATGTGAATGTGAGCAATTAAATCACATTAGAAAACTACCATTTCTAAATGTAATTATGTTAAAGAATGAATGCTTATTGTTTTGTTAGAAAGGAGCATTCTGGTTTTGGTTTTTGTTGTTGGGGATTGAACCGAGGGCACCTTACCACTGAGCTTTCTAACCCCGGCTCTTTTTTTTTTTTTTCTTAATTTGAGTCAGGTTCTCACTAAGTTGCTGAGCTGGCCTTGAACTTGCAATCCTCCTGTCTCAGTCACCAAGCCAGGAAGGAAGGGAAATTTCTGAAGTCCACAAAACAAGAGCCACAAAGGCTAAATATAATTCTAAATTAGTTCAGCAGAAAAAGAAAAAAGACATGTTCATTCTTTTATAGATAAAGGAAATAGGGCAAAGTCCAAACTGGAAGACCTAGGCAAAAGGTATAATGGGCATTCACTGTACTGTTTTCTCAACTGTTCTGTACATTAAGAAATGTTTAATAATAAATAAGGTTTAAAAAAAAGAAAAGTGCTTTCAAGTTGGGTATAGTAGTGTGTACCCACGGTCCTGGCTACCTGGAAGGTGAGGCAGGAGGATTCCTTGAGACTAGGAGTTCAAGGCACTGGCAACATAGCAAGACCCCCATCTCTTTAAAATACGTAAAGAATTGGGCTGGGGATGTGGCTCAAGCGATAGCGCGCTCGCCTGGCATGCGTGCGGCCCGGTTTCCATCCTCAGCACCACATACAAACAAAGATGTTGTGTCCGCCGAGAACTAAAAAATAAATATTAAAAAATTCTCTCTCTCTCTCTCAAAAAAAAAAGAGTAAAGAATTAAAATGATAAAAATAAGCAGGTACAGTGGTGCACTTATATAATCCCAAAGAATCCATAAGCAATTTAGTATGACCCTGTCTCAAAATAAAAAATAAAAAGAGCTATGGATGTAACTCAGTGTTAAAGGGCCCTTGGGTTCAATACCCAGTACCAAAAAATAAAAATAATTTTTACCAACTGCCTTAAAAACAGAAAGAAAACAGTCACACACAGTAAAAGACACATGTACAAACTTTTTATCTAAGACATGTGGATGGCAAATAAGCACACAAAAAGATTACTGATATTATTTTTGTCTCGAGAGTTAAAAATACAATGAGATCTATCTACTAGATTAGCTAAAATTAAAAAGATTGGTCATACCAGTGTTGCTGAGGATGGAGAGGAACTGGAACTCTCATACTCTACTGAAGGGAATACAAAATGTACAACCAATCTGGAAGACAGTTCTGCAGTTTCTTCCAAAGTTAAATATACACCTGCCATAAGAATCAGCCATTCCATTTTTGTGTTTATTCAAAAAGTAATGAAAACTTATGTCCATAAAGACTTGTACATTAATAATCATAGCAATTTCATTTATAGTATCTCAAAACTGCAAATACCCCAAATGTTCATTCCTGGCAAACAGATAAGCAAACTTATGGTATTTCTATACAACAGAATACTACCTAACAATAAAAAGGATTCAAATACTGATACACACTACAATAAGGAAGTCAAAGAAATTTGCCAAACAAAAGACAATCAAAAAAATAAAATGTTTTTTCGATGTGAATTCATTTACACAAAACTTTTAAAAAATGAAAACTCACCAACTGTTAAGAGAAAACAGCCCAATGACTTCCTGGAGCCTGGGAGACTTAAAAATGGGTAGAAGAAAACATTTGGCAATGATGGATGTGTTTATTCCCATCTATGATAGAAATAAACTACACAGCAAAAGTTATGAAATGGTATATTTCAAATATGTCCCATTTATTATGTCATGTATATAGAGGCCGTTTAAAAAAAAAAAGGAATTAAACAATGGGAGATGTCTTGCAAAAAAAGATGGGTGCTGGTCACCATTAAAGCAGCAATGAGGGGCTGGGAACATAGCTCAGTTGGTGAAATGCTTGCCTCGAATGCACAGGCTCTGGGTTCAATCCCTGACACCACCACCAAAAAAAAAAAAAAAAAAAAGCAGCAGCAATGAGTAACAGTATTATAACAATTATTGAACCCAGGGAACATATGTTCCACAACAGCCTCAAAAGACAGGAACAAAGAAGTCATCTAGGGCTGGGGATATAGCTCAGTTGGTAGAGTGCTTGCCTCACATGAGCAAGGCCCTGGGTTCAATCCCCAGCATCACAAAAAAAAAAAAAGTCATCTGATCCAGTCAGAAAAACAACTAGACATGCTGGGTATGGCAGCACACGCCTATAATCCCAGCTACTTGAGAGGCTGAGGCAGGGGGATTCCAAGTTTGAGGCCAGCCTCAGCAACTTTAGCAAGACACTGTCTCAAAATTAAAAAGGACTGGGGAATGTGGCTCAGGGGCAGAAGGATACTAGGTCCAATCCCCAGTACTGCCAAAAAAACAGAAAGATAAAAAGATATAAACAAAAACAATTTTAAAAAAAAGATAAAAACAAGGCCATTGTAGGAAAGAATTAGGGATTTAAAATAGAGATTGTTGGCTTATCCTATAGTGATACGGAAAACTATTAAGTAAAATTTCACCTGGAAACATTACTCTGGCTTAAGTGAGCAAGAACATAAACCCAGGACAGAAAAACTGGGAGCAGGAAGACCAAATCAAGATTTTTCTCTTAATATGAACTAGGGACTGAAGAGAGGTTGACATAGTGGAGACAGAAAAGAAATGGACATATGACTAGAATATAAAGGCAAAATTTTATGAATCATAAAATAAGAAGAATTTTGGAGAAGGACACTATTGCCATCTTTCATCAAAATGAACTATGTGAGGCTAGTGTTCTAAGCCACAAAGAATTGCCCCAGCAATCTTGGAAGGTGCTTCCCGTGGAGGACAAGCCAAGCCCTCATGTCAAAACACAGGCCACCACTGTTGCAAAAGAATCACGGGGTCCTGAGTATGAATGCCGGAAAGGAGTCAACATCAGAGGATGCAGGATCACGGGAGGAAAATTCCACTCAATAAACAACCTTTAAAAGACTCAGATGAAACCAACTGCAATTTTTTTTTTTTTTTACTAAGGATTGGACTTGGGGATACTCAACCACTAAGCCACATCCCCAGCCCTATTTTTTATTTTATTTACAGACAGGGTCTCACTGAGTTGCTCAGTGCCTCGCCATTGCTGAGGTTAGCTTTGAACTTATGATCTCTGTCTCAGCCTCCTGAGACACTGGGATTACAGGCATGCACCACGGCGCCCAGTCCAACTGCATTTTTCACAGTGACTTTTTTTTTTTTTTAAAGAGAGAGAGAGAGAATTTTTTTTTTTAATATTTATTTTTTAGTTTTGGGCGGATACAACATCTTTGTTTGTATGTGGTGCTGAGGATCGAACCCGGGCTGCACGCATGCCAGGCGAGTGCGCTACTGCTTGAGCCACATCCCCAGCCCTTACAGTGACTTTTAAAACAAAAATATTCTGATGCACTTTACATGGAAGACAAGACTTTCTTTTAAACAAAGACTGGGCTAGGGATGTAGTTCAATGCTAGAGCACTTGCCACTGGGTTCCAACCCAGTACCAACACCCCCCCCCAAAAAAAAAGAATTAAAAAAATATAACCAAATAAGCAAAGTGCTAAAGTACCATAAAGAAACCAATGGCAAGATGGTTTTCAGTTTCTAGTAGTAAGCCCCTACTCCTTAAACAGAGAGGCTCTGGCATAAGAAGTTACCTTTAACAACTGAGTGATTATAATGAAGATTTGTATGCTGAGAGGACCTGGCAATATCTAAAACTTATAATACAGACACCAAAAGGCTAATTTCATAAACTCAGAAATAAAACCACTTAATCCCAAATCCTAACTCTGTCCCCTCTCTTCTTAAAGCCCAGTCCCTTTTCTTTCTCCCCTACTGCATGTACAATGCATTTCATCACCCAGGACATACCTGTTTGGAAGGTAGGATTCGCTCCAGGGTACATGTTAGGAGAATAGGCAGGAGCTGCGGCTGCATAGCCCATGGGGAAACCAGCTGAAAGAAAACATATACAGCACAATGGGATGTCATCAATGAAGAAGTGAGACTCTTATAAACAGAGCTCCTACAAACCCGTTATTCTTACCCTCAACTCCAAAACTCCACACGATGATATTCTTACCCTCAACTCCAAAACTCCACACGATGACTCACAAACACCAATAGCACTAAGTGCCCAACAGTTTGTCTATAAGTTGTTTTTCTTCAAAATTTTAATGGGTAAGAACCATAATCATATGTTCTAAATCTATGATTAAATGTTTACAACTTTTTACAAATGGAAAAATTTGGCATAAAGAGAGTTAGAATCTACTCTGAAGAAAAACTAAATCAAGGGGCAAGGTATTATAGGTCAGTGGTAGAGTCAGTCCCTGCTTGGTATGTGTGAGGCTCTGGTTTCAATTTCCAGCACCAAAATAAATATGAATAGCTAAATCATAATACCAAAAACCAAATATTTTAAATCCCAAGCTATAATAAGCAAATTCCAACACTTACAAAAGTTTTGGTCCTGATCCTACTCACATAATTTCTTACCAAGAGTAATTAGTGTGCTAAGGGTATATATAGTATGGTAGGTCCAGTTACCTTCATCTGTCTTCACTGCATAAAGTATGAAAGAATCATGATTCTTGGAGCTAAGAGTCTATTTTTGCTGCAACTAGTGAGCAACAAAAGGTGTTTTAAGGACATATATTCTCAGTGACTCCAAAGACATAGCCACATTATTGCATATTTTCATTTAAAAGCTATTTTGTGTTATTGTTCTTAGGCACTATTTAAAACTCCTAAATTTATTTCAGACTTTTTCATACTCTAATCCCCAACAACTTTCCCAGTTCAGGGTGGCCAGTCATAACCTCAGTCTGTCAATATCATTACATGTCAGTCTTCTTACTGAAGGGGCTCCAACTGGCCCTGCAAGCACCAGGAAGTAGAAAAAGTCCAATCAAAAACAATATGGGAGGCTGGGGTTATGGCTCAGGGGTAGAGGGCTCGCCTAGCATGTGTGAGGCACTGGGTTCCATCCTCAGCCCCACAAAAAAAAAAAAAAAAAAAAAAAAAAAAAAAAAAAA